AACATTTATATTCACATGTACAAAAAACTCAGAAACAAATGTGAACTTACAAGCAATGTATCTCCAAAGCAAACGAGAAGGAAAGGAGGAAATGGCTCTCCGTCTAACAGCATGAAGAGGTCCTTGACTTTAAGTTTCGCTTTCCCAACTATTACTTAATACCGCTAACCGCCACCAGGTGATGCAAAAGAGAATGAATTTGGGCCACAGCTGCTAAATGTAACCCATGACAGCGCTCTCATAAGTATGGACTTGGGTATTTTCAACACGTCTTAAGGCTGTGGTTGACACTAAATGCACTGTGATTTATTATTGTATGATTGTTCAGTAACACAATGTTTTTATATTTCCTCATCAGGTTGACAGTGATAGCTTGATCTTGTATTGTTGTGTGTTGTTTTTCTATTTCTGCAGGTCTAGAAGCAGACTCTTGTTAAACATTGATTGTTTATTTTTGTGGAACGCTTTCTAAACCTTTATTATAAAACATCAATTATGGTAGTTTACAGATGTAACACAGAGGAGTTTGGCTGTGAGTTCATGACAGAAAGTACATTTAGTTTATGGTTTATTTATGGAAAACACCCAATTTTACCAGACTCGACTTGTTTACGTTTTTTTCCTGAACAAAGTGATCAAACAGAGTGAGAATCTTTTCCACCCAAACCGATTTAGATGCAACACCACACACGAACGTCTAATAAAAGTGTGAGTTTGTGACAGAAAGCACATTTTTTTTTAGATTTATTCACCGAAAACACATCTTGTGTTGTTCATTAACCCAATTGTACCGGACTAGATGTTTTTTCTGTGTCAGACTCGTAGCTGCTGTTGTGTAGCTTGTTAGCATATCGCTAATGCTAACATTTGTGATCCCGTTGGTGACTCCGTTACTATAAATTGCTCCACAAAAAGCTGCAACTGCAGGAGAAATTCTGTCTTGTTAACTTGTTAAGTTTGTGGTGGTCCAATATGGTAAATTATGTTAATTATTCATGTCTATAAATGCTGTTAATGCTTTAGTAAAGTCACAGAAATGCCCCGTGTCCTTACATCATTTTGTCCTTTATGTAACTAACACCTTTAGATGTTACTTTCTAATATTTAATAGAAATGTTTACATTCTGCACATTCTGAAGATTTTACATTCAGAAACTTAAAGGTGAACTATGCAAGAACTGAGTAATAGTGACATCCTGTGGTCAGATTTGGTTACTGCAGTTTCAGTTTGTGTGGGTTTCCATATAAATCAATCAATCAATCAATCAATCAATCAATCAATTGACTTTTATTTGTATAGCGCCTTCCATCATCCTCAAGGGAGACCCAAAGAGCTGAACACAGCACAAATAAAACAGAAACAAAACACCAATAAAACTAAGATCAACAAGAGAAAAATCAATAATAGCAAACAAAAATAAAAACTATTAAAATCACGTTAAAATGATAAAAACGAGTCTTCAAGCGACTCTTAGAAGCAGCCAAAGATGGAGACAGCTTATTGTTAAGAGGTGACTTGTTCCAGAGGGGTGGGGCTAAATATAGGAAAGATATGATGGGAAACTAAGGTTTAGATGTTTTAACAGTCATGAAATACCATCTGTGTTTTCAAAATGATGAACTACTTAAAATAAATTATATACGATACCATAGCAAGTTTGTTTTTGGGACACATTTTAACACAGCATGACAGCTGATCAAAGTGATGAACAAAGATAAAAGACGCAAGAATTATGAAAAAACTTCATAAAAACATCAAACTGTGAGATACAATTACAGCAGGAGATCAGTGTTTGATTCCTGGTCGAGTCATACCCAAGACTTTGAAAGAACCGGACCCAATGCCTCCCTGCATGGCACTCGGCATTAAAAAGGGTTAGATTGGGGGTCAAACCACCAAACGGTTCTCAAGTGTGTGCGTGACATCTCTAACAACTTTGAAATTTCAACATCCTGCTTCAACGCTTCCATGCAATCACTTGAGTGTTTACATGAAAAACCACAAGATGATTTACTAGGAACTAGATGCAAACTCTCAAACAGAGGAAGCAAACGCTTTCACATACGTGTCCTCAGTGGACCGCATTATATCAGAACTGCTTTACGATAAGTTCTTCACAGAAGCCTGTCCCAGATTCTTAGTGAGCAAGTGCTCCATGTAGAAATCGCGTCTAGATTGGAAGACTGGGCAGCAGGTTTAGGTATTCAGGCAGCTTTGTATCAGCAACTTTGAAAAAAGGTTGAAGGCTGCTTTCAGAAAATGAGTCAAGTCTACTGTTTTGTGTAACAGAGTTTCTTTCAGCCTTACCACAGACGTTTCCCTGATTGGCTAACATCTAAACTTTTGTGCTTGGAAAACATTTGTCTTTGTGATGCGACTATTTTCAGACGGTGGAGATCCCCCTTCCTCTCTCTAGACTCAGAACTCAGTCCCACGTCTTTACTTTCAGGGCAAGTGGGGGGTTTTCTGTTTGAACTGTACGTAAAGGCTGCAGGTGCAGCGCTGCTACGTTATGAATGAACTGAACTTTTGTGGTGGAGTAAGAACAGAAGTGGAGAGCGGGGGTGTCACGGGTGGGGAAGAGGACAGGAAAGAAGATGAGGTATCATAATGGAGGGGGTGGGGGGGCACTTAACCTTACGAAATATCAATCAACAGTGTCATATACAAATGCGTGAACCAGACAGCTTATGAGTGTGCACAAGGACTTTTAGCATGCTATTTTGTATTCATTAAACACTAGGAGTCTGATTTAAGACACAGTTCAGTGATTTAAAACAAATCCTTCCATGTGTGCTTCGCTTTAATGATTACTGAGTCACCACAGATCTAAAACAGGAAATAAGAGCAGCAAGCTGGGGCTTTTGTCATGAAACCAAAATCTAAAATTATAGTTAAAGCCCCATTAGTTGTCACACACACAAGTGTGTGTGCGAAATTTGTTCTCCGCATTTGACCCATCCCCTGGGGGAGCGGTGAGCTGCAGACACAGCCGCGCTCGGGAACCATTTGGTGGTTTAACCCCCCAATCCAACCCCGTAATGCTGAGTGTGAAGCAGGGAGGCACTGGGTCCCATTTTTTTCTAAGTCTTTGGTCTGACCCGACCAGGAAGTGAACCCTGATCTCCCAGTCTCAGGGCGGATGCTCTACCACTAGGCCACTGAGCTGGTATTATAGACAGTATCATAGAGTTCAGATTCCACTTCTGCAGGTAGCACATCACGACACTTTGCTGAGTCATCCTCTGAGTCAACATCTAATCAGGTAACTTCAAATGCGGAAACAAACATCCGTGGTTCAGCTTTATTATGGACCTGTGGATGGTGGGAAAATCCCTAATGACACATCAACAGGACGGTACAGGACTCTTTAAAGATGAGGAAAGAAAAATAAACAGCACTTCAGAAAGGGGAGGAGATGAGTGGAACAGGCAAGCCGATATAACATGTAATCACATATCAGACCTCTGTAATTTCCTATTCCATACAGCAATAAATTCATTTATCTTAGTACTAATTGTGTTCTTATCAGTCTAAATTGCAAATGAAGCCATCCACACATGTTGTTACTATAGAAATTATAATTAAGGGTGTCCATAACAACAACTGCACTAGCAGGAATTAAGTTTGAGACATCTCAGATTCCCTTAAAACCCAAGGTGGCCTTTCTTACCTTCAATAGGAAGAATAGATATGCGTCATGTTCTGTGGTACTCTTGAGCAATGACATGCTAAATCAGAGGCGGAAACAGGGAGGTAAGAAAATAAATAATTTATTTTAGAATGGAGAACTCAAAGCGCTGCTCAACCTGATGCAGGAAGTACCCGGAAGTTTGTCAGGAGGTGGTTGGAGGGCATGCGAAGGAGCACTGGTTGGTCTGTGAAGAAGGGTTGCAAAGGGGTCTTGATGAAGACGAGGTCCAGAGTTTCTGCGTGGTGAGCTTATAAGGGTCGGGCGGTAGGGGGGTGGTGGAGAGCGGACAGCCAGGAGTTGGAGCTGATGAGAGGTTCTTGGAGACGGCTGGAGGAGATGGTTCCTTCCTTGAAGGGATAAGAGGAAGAATGATTCTTGGTCCTAGTCTAGCTGTCCGATAATAAATCTGCTAAAGTCTTTCCAAAACGTTGTAGCATGTGAACAGATCCAGAAGAGGTGCTGAACGGTCTCAGGGTGACTTCCACAAAAGAGCAGTTCACATCAATGTCCCTCTTAAACTTTGTCATATAACGATTAGCTGGGTAACACTTATGAAGTATTTTGAATGAAACTTCTTTGACCTTATTTGTCACAAAATACTTATTAGGAATGGTCCGTACTCTTTCCCAACTGATGTCAGGGACAAAGGAATTCCAATAAAAAAATCACATATGGAACAGATAAGGATTCTCTCTGAAATAAAGCACGAATATTCCTATGACTGTTTTTATGCTCGATCAGACAAACTTTTCCTACGTATGTGTTGACAGGGTCGGGAGGAGAAATAGGCGGTACAACAGGTAGAACACCTTTAAAAAGCATTCTAACACCCATAGGTCTTGCAGCAAACAGTACGGCATATTCTTTGGGAGTTGCTGAAAATTTATATGTGTTTAGGAGTTCTGTGTAAGACATAAGCTGTCCATTAGTATTATACAACTGATTCACAAAAATGATCTGTTTCTCAACCCAATTAGAGAAAAACAATGACTTATTTTTATACACTGTGTTCCTGTTATTCCAGATCAAGTATGTATGGGGAGTAAAATTACGTTTATAAATCAGTGACCAGGCTAATAGAACTTGTTTGTGAAAGTTTTTCTGGAAGCTTTCCTACATTGTCGTCACCACCCAGGAGGCTCCCCATAGGCTCCCTGTCATCCAATGGAACAGAGCGGGCCTCTGACACCGGAAGCACTCCGCGTGCCTTCGCTATAACTTCCGGGTGGAATAAGTGAAGTCTACCAGCACATTTATTTGGATGAACTTCTGGATCAATTTCATCTCGCAGAATGTCCCGAGGCTCGAGTGCAGGGTTTGATCGACACATTACCATCTTCTCTCCTGAAGGGAGACTCTATCAAGTCGGTTAGTAGGCTGAGTGGTTGTGACGGAAGCCGGGTCGCTGGCTAACTGTGTGCTAGCAGGCTAAATGCTCTGTCACGCTTCGCCTAGCTCGGCTGCGAGCTGATAAAAACACCCGCCAGAGCGAAAATGGTCGCTCACCTTAGCGGGGCTGATGGTATGAGTGTTGTTGACTTCTGTCTACTTTACCCACGCTAATGTGAAATAAGATGTAAATGCTGCTGTTAGGCTAGTTAGCGTGGTTAGCACCACCGGAAAGCCAGCTGATTGCAGATACAGTCTTACTTACATATCAGGTTAATATTTGACCTGAAGGCTTTTCGGTTGTCTTGGTTTATTGTACGTTGAGATTTTCTGGTTTGTACCTGAAGTGAACGTTTAAGCGTTCATTTAAATCTAACGGTTCACAGGTGAGGGGTTGGAATCTGATCGTTCCCTCTATACCTGACCATGTTGTATGTATATATGTGTATGTATGTATGTATGTATGTATGTATGTATGTATGTGTGTATGTATGGGTTAGTATCTAGTTAGGGTGTGTGTGTGTGTGTGTTTATGGTTAGTATCTAGTTAGGGTTTGTGTGTGTTATGGTTAGTATCTAGTTAGGGTGTATGTATGGGTTAGGGTTAGTATCTAGTTAGGGTGTGTGTGTTATGGTTAGTATCTAGTTAGGGTGTGTGTGTGTGTGTTATGGTTAGTATCTAGTTAGGGTGTGTATGTGTGTGTTATGGTTAGTATCTAGTTAGTATGTGTGTGTTATGGTTAGTATCTAGTTAGGGTGTGTGTGTGTGTGTTATGGTTAGTATCTAGTTAGGGTGTGTATGTGTGTGTTATGGTTAGTATCTAGTTAGTATGTGTGTGTTATGGTTAGTATCTAGTTAGTATGTGTGTGTTATGGTTAGTATCTAGTTAGGGTGTGTATGTGTGTGTTATGGTTAGTATCTAGTTAGGGTGTATGTATGTGTGTGTTATGGTTAGTATCTAGTTAGGGTGTGTATATATGTATGTATACACACATACACTCCTGACATGATCTCAGCCTTCTGTGGTGCTTTACACCGTTCGGTTTTCCAGCAGAAGGAGATCACCGTCTGTAGTGTTTTGTGTGGAAAGTCAAACTAACCTTTTGGTTAGCTGAAACTTTCAGTTTCCACACCGCGTTTCTGTTTCTGGTCATTTCTACCAGGGTTGCATTTAATAAAAGATGTGAAACTGTTGTAAGACTAATGAATGAAAGTAAGCTGTTAGAACAGCGCCATAGAATAAAATGATGTAGTTTAACGTTTTTGTTTGTTTGTAGTTCAGTTTAGATGCGCGACAAAAGGGATTATAAGTGGTTAGTTACTCTGCATTTTCTTCTTTTCTAGAGTATGCGTTTAAAGCTATAAACCAAGGTGGACTCACATCAGTAGCAGTCCGAGGGAAGGACTGTGCAGTTGTTGTAACACAAAAAAAAGTACCGGTGAGTTCACGTCCTGCTGTTGTCTCTTTTGTCTTGTTGGGGTAACTAGAGAACTGTACGTTCTGGTTCCAGCTGAGGGACTGGAATGGATACGCTGAACATTTTAAACGGACTCCAGGAAACTTCTTAAATTATTCATGATGTAGGGTTCCCGCAGGGTCTTAAAGGGTCTTAGAAGCATTGACTTTAGGCAATTAAAAATAATACCTTTTTATAAAAAGTTTTGAATTTTGACAAATGGTCTTAAAATTAGTGCTGTATGTAAGTTCTCTGTACCGTATTTGTCCTCTAAAATTTAATTTTTCAGCCACAATCATTTTTATTAAATAACGTCGCATAAATAAAGAACAATAATCGAGAATGCAGCGCAGCTTCGGATCAAAATACCAGAGATGGGGAATCGTGGCATCAGCAATGTTTTTGTTGAGTTCAGCAACTAAACCAGGTGATTTCAATCAGCATAGTAAATGATCCACAGCTGCAGCTGTCGAGTATTTTAGTATTCCAGTATTCTATCGAGTCGTCCATGGATGAATCCAGTATGCTAAAGGACGACGTTCCAGGTGGAACGAGACTGTGGTCTGCTGCTAAAATGATAAAAAACATAATAAAACAACAAAAGGGTAAAGGGATCAACATGATGTAATAAACTGATGTTGTCTAGTTCCCTCTGTCCCGGCTGATATTTGCAGTGAAATATTTTATGGAACTAAATTTGACTTACATTTCATTAAAATTTCACTCATCTTAGTGTAAACATCTAAATATATCCACGTATGATCAGTAGAATTAAATTATTTCAGTAACAAGTTCAGTAATCTACTGGAAATTATAACAACATTTAATATCTACTAGCAACAACATAATGGTGGCATATCTATTTTATTAAGTTTAGGTTGGCAACATAATCCAGTCTAAATTGTATTCAAATATAGAAGTGTTTGTGAATCTCTTGCTTAACGGCTTGCCATAGACGCGGTGTGGAGCAGCCTCGCTAACCCAAACGCTCAGTAGCAACAACAGCAGACTTCAGGTAGCAGCTGCAGCAGTTCGGCCCTACACCTGTGGGGGGTGTGGGTGTTTTAACACCAACACTTTTAATGAGGAGGTTAAACAGCCACACCTCTCCCACAGTTGAGCTCTAAAACGTTACCACCAGTCCGTCCCTCTGTGTCTCTTTGGTGTGTTTGCCCTCTCCCCCTCCCTCTGCTGTTGCTAATAGAAACCCACACCTCTGTGCTCCGGTGTTGAGGCAGTATTTTGGTCAGTTCCATTGTTGAAATGCGTTTCCCCACCGCTGCGCACCGCCCAACCCATAAAAATGCATGCACTTGATACAAGCTCGCTCCCTTTCATTTCATTCATTTATAAAGACCCTCCTGTGACCAATGCAGACGCCCAAGGTGCTGAACACAACACAATAAAAACATAAAACCATCAGAATAAAATATAACAATCGTAAAACCAACATAAAATCAACTAAAAGAGGAGAGTAAAAGCAAAAAATAAAATCCTGAAAAAGATTGAGGCCGGGGCATAGAAACCGGGTAAAATTTGCTAATCCTGGAATGCCTCGACAAAAAAATGGGTCTTAAGGCGAGTCTTAAAAACCCCCAATGAGGGTGACTGACGCACCTCCAAAGGCAACTGGTTCCAAAGTGCAGGTGCTAGGGCTGCAACTAACGATTATTTTCATAATCGATTAATCTGTCGATTATTTTTTCGATTAATCGGTTTGTTATTGTTTAGCTATTTAACCTATACAAGTGATGGATGCATTTCAGTTAAGAAAAAAAAAACATAAGAGAATTGTGCAGTTGACTGCAATCTATTTTATTGCACATGAACACAGTCAGCAGTATAAAATGAGCTAAACAGTGCAAAATATCAGTCCAGAATAATTTTTTAGCATTAGCTGGAAGCCTGCTCCTTCCACCATGGATAGTGGCCTCATGTCTTTTACCAGCATGTTTAGAATAGAGTTTGTAAGTGGTATGAATTGCTGGGGGGTGAGTGTCTTGTTCCCCATGTAGTTGTCCATCGTTGCTTGTTTTTTTTCTGCATAAGAAACACAAATAGACTGAAATAAGTACACATATAAAATAAAGCAGCCCACACACTACAACACTAAATCAATATTATATTATTTGAATTAATTAACAATATACAGTGATCATTTATTTTGAGGGTTACGTTCTACAAAATAGCCCGCAACAGGAGATATTCAGAAAAAAATTCTAATTTTTTTACTATTAAAAAGCTCTAAGAAGCTCATGAGGTTTTTATTTTGAGTCGGGAGTGTTTAAATTAGCTAGAGAAATGTGAAAAATGTTTATTTTGTGTAATACTGTTTAAGAAACATGATAAAAATGTGTTGTGAGGCGTTTTACAGCGTTAGACAAAACAGCCTTTTAATAGTAAAAAAAAAGACTTTTTCTGAATTTCTCCTGTATTTAAAAATTGAAAGCGTACAACTATGCCGCGTTATATTCACCTGGACACAGCTCGTCTGTATATTTTTCACCGCAGAGTTGTCCATTTTTGAATGAGGAACATAGTTATGGGTTTGCGCCGTTTTTCTCTTAACGAGAACATTCTTATAAACAGGCGTGCTAAATTTGGCAAGCGCATGATTCACAACACGGAGGAGATTCACGATTGCATCTAGTCAATCAGAAGTAGAACACCGTAGACTGACGCGGCAAAAAAACATGTTTAACATCCACTATAACGAACTCAGCTAAAACATTAAGTCCAGCTTGTTTATTTTCTGTTACTTACCGGGCTGGCTCTTCCAAATGACGGCTCACTTGACCGCGGTGCTCTTCCTCTGCTGCATCAGCCCCCACATGCTTTCGTCTCAAATGTTCACTTAGGGACGTCGTGCTTCCGTGCCATGCTAGATGTTTTTTGCATATTTTGCAGGTCACCCGTCTTTTCAAGGCATCTAGAGTAAAGTGCTCCCATACTCGTGAGGTTTTTGTCCGGGGTTTCTCTTCAGTTTTGTCGTTTCTATTTTTCTTCCGTATTTCCTTTTGTTCCGCCATCTCTCACAGCAAGATGAGCGTCAGTAACGTGATACGTCATGAAAACCGAGGGCACTCATTGGCTCATTTCTTCTTCTACGGCTCCACTGGTAGATCAGTGGCTCATTACTGCCACACACTGGCGGCAAATTTAACAGCTTGTAACCGATGTCAGATTGTGGTAAAAATAGACTTTATGCGGTAAAATATGATTATTAAACAACTAATCGATGACTAAAAAAGTTGTTAACTATTTTAATAATCGATTATAATCGATTAAATCGATTAGTTGTTTCAGCTCTAGCAGGTGCCAACACCGAGAACGCACGGTCCCCCCGTGACCTGCACGTAGTGCGTGGAACAATCAACAGCTCCCTGCCGGCTGAGCGAAGGGCTCTTGAGGGGCATGTCTATGCATAAGGTTGCCAAGATATGCTGGAGCCGTTCCTTGTAAGGCCTTGTATGCCAGTACCAAGACCTTGAATTTTGCCCTGTATTGCACAGGCAGCCAATGAAGGGATGCCAACACAGGGGTGATATGTTTCCCTGTCACGAACCTAGCGGCTGAGTTTTGTACTAACTACAAGCGTGCTACCACACCCTGGCTAAGGCCAGCATACAGTGCATTGCAGTAGTCGAGCCTTGAAAGAACAAAAGCATGTGACAGTCTCTAGATGTACTCTGGACAGCAGGGGCTTAATTCTGGCTAGTCGGCGTAAGTTAAAAAACACGATCGCACAACCTGGTTGATTTGCGCGTCAAATTTAAGGGCTGAGTCCAGTTGCACTCCCAAATTCCGGATGGTGGTCTTCTTGTTGGATGCTAAAGGGCCCAGATTCACAGCATCGCATGGGCGTGTAGACATGCCAGGGCTAAGTACAATTACTTCAGTCTTAGCGTCATTCAGATGTAAAAAGTTTGTAGCCATCCAGGAGCGCACATCCTCTAAGGGATCAAGCTTTGATATTGACCCATTGACCCCCCGCTGAAGGGGGATGTAGATCTGACAGTCGTCAGCATAAAAATGAAAACGCATGCTGAACCGCCAAAGAAGATACCCCAACGGTAGTAAGTAGATGGCAAAAAGAAGCGGACCCAGTACATACCCCTGTGGCACACCCCACTTGAGTCCCGCCCAGGTCGAGGAGGTTTCACCTACACTGACACACAAACTCCTGTCGGATAAGTAGGAGTGTAGCCATTGTAGGGCTGCACCGGTAATTCCCGCCCAGTGTTGTAGCCGATCCAAAAGTATGTCATGATCGACCGTGTCAAAGGCCGCAGACAAATCTAGCATCCCCCCGTCACAAGCTAAAAAAAACATCATTAAGAACCATTAAAAGTGCAGTCTCGGTACTGTGACCTGCTCTGAACCCTGACTGAAAGATCTCCCAGAGTTCGTGAGTGTCTACAAATGCAACCAACTGTAAATATACAACCGTCTCAAGCAGCTTAGATAAGTAAGGTATATGTGAGATAGGTCTGTGATTGGCCAACACAGTTTCCTCCATCCCCTTCTTTTTCAGCACCCTTGGTGCGTTCTGGTTTTGGTTTAATACGAGCCACAGGTCTAAGTTGTATCCAACGGCGGGCGGAACTGGCACCCAACTGGGCAATATCCCGGTGGGCCGGTCTGAGGTCGGTGTTTTTAGTCGTGTTTTATTTTTTTTATTTTTTCCATGTTCAGCCGTGTCTCTGTAGACCACCTGCTGCTGATGAGAGGATTTCTCCCGTCAGGAACAGGTGAGCTGCTGCCAACCCTAACCCAACAAGCTTCTGTTCCTAGAAACACGTTCTAGTCAGACTGTAGTGACCTGTTGTTTATAGTATTATAATTAATATGAAGTGAATGCACTAAACCCACAGGTGATTTGTTCTGAACTCTACATGATCGTGATTCGTGAGCGTGCTACATGCTAGCTGAGCATTAGCCACTCTACCCGTAGTGCAAATCCATTTACAAAGGTTTCTCTTTGCTGCTCCCCATTCTCCTCCACAGCACCTAGATCACCACGGAGTGCTCCAGTTAATGTGTTCAGACTGTGGTGCGCACATTTACCCAAGCTTTGAATCAGTAAAAAATGAATCAAACCATTTTGTTTCAGCCCTAAAATGAACCTTGTTCAGTTACTGAGCAGAACAAAGTCACGGCATGGAGTTGACTTGTTGATTCCACCGTTTCCATCTCTGCAAAGTACTCTGAACACGTGACGTATTCTTGCCCAAATCGATAACCTTTAAAGTAGTTTGTTATCCTCTTAAAATAAAACACATATAGATTTCAACAAAAGTATCGTTAAGGTACCGCCGTCGTTACAGTAGTAGTAGAAGTACCTCCTGGTACCCAGCCCTACTGTTATATTTAAACATGTTTTACTTTACCATAGCTGCCCTTTCTCTGAACGCTCAATTCGCTCTGCTGCTGTTCTCCACCGAGTGTTGTGCAAAGTATAATAAAACATCAAGATAAATAAATAAACACAAGTTCAAGTGTTTATTTTTGTGAAATTGGAACTAAGTTGTTATGTCGGTGCTTTTGGAAAAGGTCTAACTTGATGAAACCTGTAGGAACCCTGCGAGTCTTTATGGCTAAGTCATGAAAAGCAGACTTTACAAGTACGAAGGTGTTTTAGCTGATGACGCTTCCTTAGACCGTATCAAATCAACATCAAGCCACGTTAAAGCCAGGCTCACCAAGCGTCCTGCTACACCAGCAGTGACTCTTCCACTCACATCATAACTTGTTTTGCTTGAATCTAGGCCTAAAAACTCCAAATTTTCGGCTTTTGTTTGGAGTTTATTATGATGCTTATTTGGGACCCTGGAACTGTGGAGGTGGACATTAAACACAGACCCTGCATTCACTGCTGTTTTACCATCGTGTCACCAACAGGACAAACTTCTGGATGCCTCCACAGTGACTCACCTTTTCAGAATAACAGACACTATTGGATGCGTCATGTCTGGGATGACGGGTAAGAAAACAACCCATACAGACATGTTTTCTGTCCTTTGTTAGAGTAGGAGGTATGTAACTCCTTGTTTATGCGTTCTGTTGGTTTTTACAGATTCAAACCCAAACCAGCATCTCACTGGTTGTTTATATTGAACTCAAACATGCTCATTTTTAATTCAAATCTCAAAGTTTGTACATATGGCTTCAAATAAGAGCTAAAGCCAGATTCATGTGATTGCTGCAAGTGGTCCAGTCACACTTCACTGGTAAACCCGGGCCAGGACTGTCTCCTCTGTCAGTCACAGTTCCCAAAGTTATGAAAGTCACCTATGAAAAAAGCATTTTATAATCCGAGCAGATTAAAGACGCGGGAAGTGGAAAAATTAGCTGGACTGAACCTTTCCACATTAGAAACTAGAAAGGGAACCAATTCGGCTTTGTACAAAACAAACAACAATAAATGAATAAAGTAAAACGGGAAGAATGAATAAATAAAATATTTAGCTGAATTAATGAAAAATAACATCTAATTTAAAAATGGTGGCCATGCTTGTGACTAGGGATGGGTACCTTTGACATTTGAATCGATACCGGTACTTAACGGTACCAATTTTTGATACTTTTGAGTGTTTATTATTTTAATTCTCTTTTATAATTAAATATATATTTTTCTCAATATATAACCATATTTGATAAATATCACGATAAATAACATACAACTGTTTGTATTTTAACATCGTCCTTGTAGTTTTATAAGCTGATAATTAAACTGAAGCAAACATCTTTACTGTGAACTAAATTTACTGTGTATCTTCATTCCTTTTGCCGTCTTTTTTCTTTTGATTTTTCCTACTGGGAAGTTAGAATTTCCGAGGAGAAAGCGAACGCACCATTAGCTGATAACAATGGTGGCAATGGAAGCTAACATATCAAGCTAACGATATCTTAAACAGTTTATTTAGCTGCTGGAGCAGATTAAAACGATGATGCCTCACACTTAGATCGTTGTCGCTGGTTTCATCTTCACCCATTCACCCGTCACATTTAGTAAAGTAAAGCCAAACTTTAGAGCGCGTTCATGTTCTTCTAGTCGGAAATTCAGATTTCTGAGGAGAAGGCGAACGCACCATTAGTGAAACGGAAGCTAACATATCAAGCTAACGTTATCTTAAACATTTTATTTACCTACCGGAGCAGATTAAGATGAGGATGTCTCACTTAGATCGTTGTCGCTGGTTTCATCATCACCCAGTTACCCATCACATTTAGTGAAGTGGACCCAAGCGTTAGCGTGCGTTCTTTCTACCATGCTGCTCTGTTTACAACTGGCTCGCAGCGACCGATGACATAACGCTCTTGCGCATGCGCAGCTGTCTAGGCAAGTTCTCGTTGTGAAGGACGGGTACCGAAACGAGGCACCGTTTCAAATGAAGTGAATCGCTGCTCGGTCGGTACTGTGGAATTCGGTCGGTACCCATCCCTACTTGTGACCCTCTAAACTACCTCACCATGCATTTAGCACAATCTGCAGTTAGGATGAGGACATGAGCCACCAGGGGGTATAAGCTAGCCCCGGTGGTGTGTGCACATGTGCTTTATGCTAATTTCATATTACATTCTTGAAAACAGAACCATCTGTTGCAATATCCATCCTTCCATTTATGGAAACACGGAGCTGCAACACGCATAAACACTCGAGGTGTTTGTCCAGAGCCACTCGGACCGACCGCTGTTCCCACGGACATGGTTCGGTTTTCTCCCGCTACTTCCTCCCTGTCGTTAGTCCCTGCTCCATTGAGGTCCCTGGCAAGGCTGAGTCAGGCCTGCATCATGATTCTGGCTGCTGATTGGCTAGGGGGCGGAGTCACTGGTTGCGCCAGAGTTTCCTGTCTTCTGCTTCACTGCCTGCAGCCATTTCCTGGTTCAGAGTCTGGCAAAAAGCCATAAAACTGAGTCGAGTGTCCAGAAAACCACCGACTTTCAGCTGCGTTGTTTCTGCGGATCGCACAGGTTACCGTACCCGGTTTACTGGTCACATGATGCTATTTGAAACCAATGCTGTGTTATCTCCATCGTGCTGTTATTGGCACGATCGGCCTCGCTTTCATCGTTTTTCATGCAGCTCTATTCAACATGGAATTTATTAAATGGCCTGTATAGAAGCCCCCCAAGGTGCTTTACAACGCAGTCATTCACCCATCCACCTTCTGCATTGTAGCCAGAGCTGTCCCGGGGCTCACTGGCAGAACAGGGTTGCCGAGCACCAGCGGGCCACGCCCAAGGACACAACGGCAGCATTCTTCTCCAGGAGCCGGGTCGATCCTACAACTCTCCGATTTTGGAAAAGAAAAAGATCTTTCATGAAGCGCCTTTCAAGATAAAAATCACGAGGCGCTCCAACAAGAACTAAAAATAAAAAACGATTTAAAAATTGTTAAAATAATATAAAAAAGAGTTGATAAAAAATGCAGGAAAAGGGAAAATGCATAGGACAGAGGGAGATGAATGGATCCCGGGAAGGGTGGACCCGGTAGAGCAGTGGTCTGAGCTGCCTGCTGCGGACCCTAACCCCATGTTTAATCTGTACTCGCCGTGCTGGTTCTAACAGTCGATTATCTGTCCGTCCCTTCTCCTGCGCCGACCACTGCTCAGCTGACAGCAGGTCTCAGGTCCAACGAGCCCGCTACGAGGCAGCCAACTGGCAGTACAAGTACGGCTATGAGATCCCCGTGGACATGTTGTGTAAGAGAATCGCAGACGTCTCACAGGTCTACACGCAGAATGCTGAGATGCGACCGCTAGGCTGCTGTGAGTACATTCATATAACGTTGTGTTAGATGTTTTCCTTATTTCACCTGAACAAGTCTTCCCGTGACCCCGCAGGTATGATCGTGATCGGAGTAGACGAGGAGTTTGGTCCCCAGGTATACAAATGCGACCCGGCTGGCTACTACTGCGGCTTTAAGGCCACCGCTGCTGGAGTGAAGCAGACCGAAGCCACCAGCTTCCTGGAGAAGAAAGTAAAAAAGAAACTGGATTGGACCTTTGAACAGACTGTTGAGGTATAAAAACACGCAGCAGCGCTGATGCGAAGTGTGCAAGTAGAGCAGCTCCCCTTTAGCTGGTTTTACGGGCATCATGTTGACACAGACCTCAGCTCAAAGGCAGATGTGCAAATGTCTAACCATGTGTTTAACCCCCCCGTGCTTTCAGACGGCCATCTCCTGCCTCTCTACGGTCCTTTCCATTGACTTTAAGCCCTCTGAGCTGGAGGTCGGCGTCGTCACAACACAGAATCCCAAGTTCAGGTGAACCCAACAATCATTTTGTTTCTGGCACTGAAGCTTTTCAGCCATCTTAAGGGCTACAAATAATTATCTCAGTTGTTTCATCACGGTGTTGATGTGAGCATCAAATATCTAGTTACAGCAAAGTTTAACAAGTATGCAGTAGAGACTAGGGGTTGCATGACTTCATCTTTTTTAAAGTCGACAAGTCAAGTAATGAAAATCGAGTCTTTTTTTCTGACGCGGGGAGGGGGATGGGTTGGTTCGCTGGAGTTTTTGACAATTAAAATTGCGCCCACATTTTCAAAGTTAAACACATTTCTTTTAACAACGGTAGTTTCTGCTTCAGCCCTCTCCCCCCTCCCCCTGCTTCAGCCCTCTCCCCCCTCCCCCTGCTTCAGCCCTCTCCCCCCTCCCCCTGCTTCAGCCCTCTCACCCCTCCCCCTGCTTCAGCCCTCTCCCCCCTCCCCCTGCTTCAGCCCTCTCCCCCCTCCCCCCGCGCAGCGGCCGCAAACTCACTGATGCGCCTGCAGCCTCTCGGAGTTCCTGCTGCTCTAAACATTAAAATAATTATTTCATTTTCTGTTCCTCACTTCTGATTACCTTCAATGGTGTCTGTTTGTTGCAACCACCAGGTACAAAAACTAGTTTGCTTTTGACTATTTTTCTGTCCTGTCTGTTTATTATCTTCCTGCATCTCCTCTCAATCCTAAAGAGAAACTGCTACCTGGGTTCATGTATATTCACCTCATGAGTTACCTTTGAACTGCAGTTCTAAAAGATCTACCGACCACTAAAACAGTGGAGTGTGCGCTGCTCGCCAGCTGCATCAGTGAGGTGCGTCACTGGAGGACAAAACATGTGATGCGCTCTGCAGCAGCGAAACGCATCAGGCACAAATAAAAGAATAAAAGACAGAAAACATAAAAGGAAATGAGCCGACATGATCACACGTCAAATTTGCTTTTGAGGTGGTGACACCTAATTTGATAATGTTACTGTGGCCGTGCTCAGGACGCAGATGTCTGGAGCGCGTCAACAATCAGAGCTTTGCATGCGCAAGCTGGTTAAAGTTAGGACGGGGTGAGGGGAAGGTTAAATTGTAAGAGGGTAAAGGTCACAATTTCGGTCAAATGTCAGTTTTACGGCGGGTTTCAGATACCGATGCTCTGGCACAGCGCGTTGCCTCCCAACGCGCAGGAGCTCACTTTCTTTTCCAAGAGAGGAGCCTGATAGCTAAAAGATCTGCCTCCCATCCTATTTTTAGATATTCTAGGAACCACCAGTAGACCTGCAGTCTGAGAGCGAAGTGCTCGGTTAGGAACGTATGGAACAATCAGATCACTGATGTATGATGGAGCTTGATTATTAAGAGCTTTATATGTGAGAAGAAGGATCTTAAAATCTATTCTGAATTTAACAGGTAGCCAATTTAGGGAAGCTAAGACAGGAGAGATATGATCTCTCTTTTTAATTCTCATCAGAACTCTAGCTGCAGCATTTTGGACAAGCTGAAGACTTTTAACTACATTCTGTGGACTTCCTGAGAGTAATGAATTACAGTAATCCAGTCTTGATGTAATAAATGCATGAACTAGTTTTTCAGCATCACTCCTGGAAAGGATGCTTCTAATCTTAGGAATATTCCGAAGGTGGAAAAAGGAAATCCTACAAACTTGTGAAACCTGGGATTAGAATGGCATGTCCTGGTCAAAGATAAGAGATTAATGTAATGCCATTCAGGTCAGGTGATTGACTAAACAATTTCCTTTTCTGAATTTCTGGTCCAAAGATGAGAACTTCCGTCTTGTCTTGATTTAAAAGCAGAAAGTTTATTCATCCATTTTTTATGTCCTCAAGACAAGCCTGTAATCTACCCGGCCGATTAGGTTCATCAGGGTTAATGGATAAATATAACTGAGTATCGTCAGCATAACAGTGGAAGTTTATCCCATGCTGTCTAATGATTTTACCAATTGGGAGCATATATATAGTAAAAAGAATTGTTCCAAGCACTGAACCCTGTGGTACTCCACAAGTAACCCTGGAGTATGAAGATTTGTCATGTACATTTACAAAGTGAAATCTGTCAGACAGGTAGGATTTAAACCAGCCTAACGCTGTTCCTTTGATCCCTACAACATGTTCAAGTCTTTCTAAAAGAACATTGTGATCAACTGTGTCAAAGGCAGCACTGAGATCTAACAAGACTAGAACAGACACAAGATTCTTATCTGAGGCCATGAGAATATCATTTGTAACTCTCACTAATGCAGTTTCAGTGCTGTGATACTCTCTAAAACCAGACTGAAATTCCTCAAACAGATCTAACGAGTGTTAGCATTGGGCGTTAAACATCAGAATTGTCACCTGGATGATTTTCAGTGTGATGGTTGTGTTTGCAGGACGCTGACAGAGACGGAAATAGACACCCACCTCATGTCTCTGTCAGAGCGGGACTGAGACTCGCCACCTGTTGGATTGACCGAGAGCATGATGCAGTTTCCAGAAGAAGACTTGGCTTTATTTGCTGTACCCCCCACCGTTACGTTTAATAAAAACCTTTGAGTAAAACATCTTCTGCGCCTCCTGAACTTTATCCATCTACACAACATAAACCAGCCTGTAATCAGGTGCTTCTGCAGCAGCAGGTGGAACGTCTCAGAACACGAGCCCCCCTCTGACTTCCTGTTGTGGTTCTGAGAACGTATGACACTGATGTTCTGAAAGGTTTCCTTGTATTACCGTACTCAACGCTGCAGTGTGGATGTGACTTGATTCTGTCAAAGAAACGTTTGTCTTACTGGAAATAAGACGGTTTCGTTTGAGCCCCTTAAGCCAACGGGCTCTGGTAGACGGGTGGTAGACAGGCTCGCTTCATGACTTCATTTTGGATATCTGGCCAAATGAGATATTTTAGTCCTAATTGAAGCAAAATGGGCTTTTAATGATTGAGGGAAAGTCTGTTCTGTAAAAGCCAAGGCCATCCTAATTCCTGGTTTCGTGTCACTGGGAAGTTTTGGCTCAGCCAGGATTTCCAGGTCAGCGTAAAGCTGGGGAAATCTACGAGGGATTTCCCCACGTTGGATCACTTCCTCTGCCGAGGGCCAATCCGGTTGTGCCAGTTCAGTGAAGGTTTCAGCACACTGTTCCTCCGCCGCCCACGGACCTTTAGGCTGACTCAGACCTGCTGCAGTCGCCCAACTCGAGGAAATCCTGAACTGTTCCTGGTATGGCTCAGAGGCAGCATCTGTTCGTCAGGCTGACAAGATGGAGGGAAATTCAGCTTCAACTCAAGTAAAACTTTTCCCACTCAAGAATTTATTTAACATGATAGTGTTACATTCACACAGACACAGTACAAAAATAATCTCTATATATACAGTATAGTACATCTGTTATTTACATCGTACGTCTACACGGGTACAGAAGCGTAGACGATTCGGTCTAGCCGTGGTGGCTTCTCCAGCACACATGGCCAGACTGGACACCATCTTTGGTCCTGTTTGCAGCCATGGGACCAGCACCTGTGCCAGAACCATGGCCTTTGGGGGGGTGGCGGTACAGGGAGGGGAGGAAGACCTGCTCCATTCCCCCACGGGAGCCGTTGCTAGGCAACACCAGTAGCAGCCTGATGTTCACGCCTCCAGCCGAAGGTTTGCTTTGGATTTACTTCCCAAACTTTATGTCGTCATAAACCTGGAGAGAAAAAACACCATGTTAACAAATTTGAAATTCCTCTCCGATGTCACACGTTTGGATCGCTACTGACCTCATCCTCCGATAAGTCTTCCATGTCGCTGTCCTCGCTGTCGGGCAGCTCCCTCAGATCCTGGGCTGTCCTCTCGTACAGCTGGGAGCGGATCTCTTCATTATGGCGCCCGTAGGTGAGGTGGTACGGCGTAAAACCACCGTAGTTCAAGCAGTTGACGTCTGCGCCAAGGTCAAGGAGGCGGTGGACCAGTGTAGAGTCCTGGAGGTCGACGGCCAGGTGGAGAGCCGACCGGCCGCTGCAGGGCTCCCGCGCGTTAATGTCTGCACCCAAACTCACAAGACTTTCCACCAGAGATATATAACCGTTGACTGAGGCCAAGTGGAGGCAGTTGTGTCCTGAAGAGTAAAGGAAACTCGTAAACAAATAGATTCCAAAGCAACCGACTGAGTTTGGAGCCTTTAAACTTGACGCCTACCACTGTAGTTGCAGGCAGACAGGATGGAGGCGCGGTGGCGCTGGCAATTCTGGGTAATGACACCAAAGCAGGCGAGGGAGCCCTGCTTGCAGGCGATGTGGAGCGGCGTGTTACCGCTGTTGTCGGCCAGCAAGGGGTCGGCGCCGGCCTTCAGGAGTTTGTCCACCAACTGGGGCTGCTCGGTGATCACAGCAAGGTGGAGGGCAGTCTGCCATGAGCACACCAGTTCATGAGTAAGGAGTTCAAGGCCATTTGTGCAGCAGATCCACCATGATGAAGATGATGATGATGATGCATTACCTGTCTCTGGTGGTTCTGGGCATTGAGGAAGGGGTGGCCATGGGACAGTCTGATCATCTGCAGCACGCAATCAGTGGCTTCATGGATGATGGCCAAGTGGAGAAGCCTGGTGGAGGGGGAGTAAAGTTAAAATAGCTGCTAAAGACACACACACACACACACACACACACACACACACACAGCAGAACAAAGCTCGGAGCGTTACGCCAACAACGGGAGTTTTGTCGGGTAATTTCCACCGGTTGCGGCTGACACTGATGTTCTATCAGTTACTGGCAGCGCGCCAGGGACTTTCCTGGAGCGCTCTAGCGCCGCCCAGACTGCGCAACTGCTGCGCACATCTGCAGTCTGCGCTAGCTCGTTTCCATGCATCTACTGTTGCGCAAACGCCGCGTCACAAGCAGTCGCCGTGAATGTTGGGGTTTATGGACGCCACTTACGTGTCTCCGTCCTCGTTCACTTCGGCCCTCCAGGGCTCCCAGTCCCCCCAGACAGACTCGCTCACGCGCAGTGCGTCCAGCTCGGTCGACAGCAGCTCCTCCTTTAGCGAATCTATTCCGCTGTCGAAGCGGTCCTCGTGGCAGGGCAGCGCCTTCCCGCGCTTGGCCTCCATGTTATAATCCGTGTGTCCGTGGTCAGCAGCTCGGTGTACGTCCATATTGAAGTCGCGTGCGGCTCTTCTGACCAACTCCAGCACAAGCTCGGCACAGTTTAACAGCAGCTGGGAGGCGCTGCGGGTTTTATAGGGAGTGGGCGGGGCTTCGGCGGGGATTTCCAACAGCTAGGGAAATCACACCGGAGCTGTGCTTTTGAGAGAAATCCCCCCCCACTCCAGCTGACACAGAGTGAAAACCCGTAGTTTCCTGCTACACGTCTATTATTTACCTGTGGTGTGTGAGACGCTCTCAGGACCCATGTCACAGGTGATTTCAATCAGTGAGGCGCGATGGGCGTCCATGAGGCTGACAGTCCCTGAATGCCTCATGAAGAATTCCCTTCTGAGCTTTGGGGAAATTCCATGCATCCATCCATTTTCTGAACCCGCTTGTCCACGTAGGGTCGCGGGGGGGGGGGGGGGGGGGGGGGGGCTGGTGCCTATCTCCAATGGGCAATCAGGCGGGGTGCACCCAGGACAGAGAGCCAGTCCATCACAGGGCAACACAGAGACACAGGACAAACTATCATGCACACCTAAGGACAATTTAGACAGACCAATCAACCTAACAGTCATGTTTCTGGACTGTGGGAGGAAGCCGGAGTACCCGGAGAGAACCCACGCATGCACGGGGAGAACATGCTAACTCCATGCAGAAAGATCCCAGGCAGAACCCAGGACCTTCTCGCTGCAAGGCAACAGCTCTAACCACTGTGTCACTGTGCAGCCGCTGTGGGGAAATTATCTGAGCAAAATGCAGCGCTGCATTTTTTTTCTTTACCTTTGCCCAAATAAATGAACGTGAGAGCCCGCATGCACAGCCGACACCTCCGTGCTTCTCTAGAGAAAAGGTGTGCATCACAGCAGGCAGGTGCAGAATGCTTCAGAGGCACCAAAATGTGTCCTCACAACACTGGAGATCAAAGGGTTTTGCAGAAATGGCTTCAAAATGTGTTAACATCATGTATTAAATGGAATATAATCTGCATCAAAGGGCCAAACCTGCATCTCATGGATTGCAGTGAACTCTTGGACGTTTGTGCCATTTTAGGATGGCGCCAACCTGCTTTGGAACTATTTTAACTGGTTAGTATTTGGCCTTTTATTCATACTGTCTAGCTCTAAATCGCACATACCAACATGCAGAGTGCATAAAAAAATAACTACATAATTTTAGGTAACTTACATCATATATCATGCTGAGGCAGAGTGGGCCGGGGTGGGCTCCGGGCCCCCCCAGGGGGGCGCACATACATTTCTCTGTCAGCAATCGCACGAGTTGCAGTAACAGCAAGAATAAAAATGGCTGTACATTCAACAAAGAACACACATGCAACAATATTCTAACATACATCTGAAATATAAGTATCCAGTAGAGACTGCTCATTACCCCCACCCCCACCAAAAATTTAGTGTTTGTGGAAGAAAACCCATCTCCACGTCCATCTGCTGCACCTAAAGGATCTTCTGACATCCTTTAACTCTGCAGTCAGAGACGCCAGGGTTTCCTATTTCTCCAGCCTGGTGTCCCAGAGCAAAGGGAACCCCAAGGTGCTGTTTAACACCATCAGCAGCATCGTCTCTCCTGCCTCTCCTACAGCCTCCATCCACTCTGTTACAGACTGTGAGAACTTTCTGTCTTTCTTTGTGGACAAAGTCAATAAGGTTAGATCTAGCATCTCTCCTTCAGCCTTATCGCCGCCTCTCCCGACTCCAACCAGACCCATCATCCTAGATAGCTTTGCTCCTGTTTCTTTGCCTGAGTTAACCAAACTAGTTAACTCTATGAAGACCTCTGCTTGCCCCCTCCACATCTTACCCTCATCTTTGTTTAAAAGTGCTTTTCAGTCCATCGGTCCCAGCGTGCTCTCTATAATTAATGCTTCTCTGGTCTCTGGTCAGGTCCCTGCTTACTTTAAGAACGCTGTAATCCACCCGCTTCTTAAAAAACCGAGTCTCGTCCCCTCTCTCCATAGCAGCTTCAGACCCATCTCTAAACTTCCGTTCATCTCCAAGATCTTGGAAAAGGTTGTGGCTAAACTCACAGCTGCTCTTGATGAACATAACATCTATAATAGCTTCCAGTCAGGTTTTCGTAGAGCTCATTCTACTGAAACAGCTCTTCTTAGGGTCTCTAATGACCTTCTGACTCACAGTGATGCAGGGTTCTGGTTCTGGTCCTGCTGGACCTGACTGCAGCCTTTGACACTGATGACCATCACCTGCTACTGGAGAGGCTGAGAGACTGGGTAGGCCTATCAGGAAATCGTTGTAAACGTAGAGCCCAAGTTAACACAGGTGTGTACAGCTGTCAGATTTAGCCACACAGAACAACAGGATGCAGGTGATATGTAAATGTGTTACTGCTGTTGTCGTTTATTATGTATTTGTTGTTCTGCGTTAAAAATATTTTATACACTTAAACAGAAGAGTAACAAAAAATGCACCCCTCTCGGAGTTATCCCGAGTGTAAACTAGATCCATTAAACCCAAAACGTGTTTTTGTGACCAGGCTGTAAACATGTATGTTTATAATAAATAATAATGCATTGAACTTATAGAGCGCTTTTTCTAGACACCCAAAGACGCTTTCACACACTCTCACATTCACACACTGCTAGTGATGGTAAGCTACTTGTAGCCACAGCCGCCCTGGGGAGGTCTGACAGAGGCGAGGCTCTCATTTGGCGCCGTCCGCCCCTCTGACCACCACTAACACAGGCAAGTTGGGTGAAGTGTCTTGCCCAAGGACACAACAGCAGGATACCCCTGGCGGGAGCTGGAGTCGAACCCATGACCCTCCGATCATGAGGCAACCCCCTCTACCACCTGAGCTACTGCTGCCCCAGTTTATGCTGTGAAATTGGTATTTTTAACATGGGAGTCAATGAGGATTTGCTCACTTCTGACACCAGCCCCTAGTGGATGAGTGTGGAACTGCAGTTTTTGCCACTTCCTGTTTGCTTCATATCCAGAACCGAGTTATGGCGGCTTGGCGTAATCGCTAGCTGTGAAGTGGAAGCTACAAACATAAGTACCGCCCCTTCTAATAACAAACTGGGCCCCACCTCACGCTCGATTGCCCTTACCCACTTGTGTCTCACACCGGTAGCTGCTGGATGGTAGGGCTGCTTCTGGGCATGGAAACAACAGCCTGGTGAGCTGCAGTAACTTTAGCTTCTAGATTGCACCATCGATGTTTTCCGTACTTCCGGTTAAAAATCCAGGAAGTGTGAAAGAGGTCTATGAGGCAGGTGGGAGGGAACAGCGCCTTTGACACAAACCAAGCTGGATAAGACGAGCACTTCCGTAACTTGCGTTCAGAGGAGATGGTTTATGTAGGCTGCCCCAGTCAGGATTGAGTCATGGTTGCTAAAAACTTTACCAGAGTGACCGACTTAGCCGTCTCGTAGGTGTAATATACTGAATAAAATGTGGAGCTGCATGACTGGCTTTATTTTTACTCTCACATGTAGCTTTAGGACCTGCTAATTTACAAGTGGATCTCCAAAAGCATCTTCAAGTGCATTGTGGGTAAAACCTGTCACCAGCCATCCACCATCGTCATCATCACTTGTCAACAAGGACTGCAGGATTGCTGTAAAGACTCTGACACTAGTCAGTGACTTGATGAAGCCTGCTGGGCGCTGGAGAGCATAACAGCGTCGCCGCCATATTGGATGGGTCTCCTCACCAAAGTCCATGGGTCCTTGTCAGGTGACGTATAGGGTGCAATAGCGTTGCATGATGGGATAGCTAGGTGTATAAACAAAGATTGGTCACTTCCTGTTGCGTGAAGGGCTGCTATGCTATCTTCACAAGAAGGAAAAAGTCGGTGATCGAGTTACGCGGATATTTTACGGTTTTGAGCGTTTATTTTGACGGAGAAATCTCAGACTGGAGTTACCTGACGCGTACAGGTGAGCAGACGTTTTAAAGGTTACGCACAGAAAACATTAGGAGGTAACAAAAAGATTCCCATCATCACATCTGAGGAGCTGTGGGCCACGGGCCAGAACCAGAACACGACAGGTGAAATGTTCCTACTTCATAGTTTAACTGTAGCATTAATATGATGCTGGACCGATTTTAAACTGTCGGTCAAAACAAAAACTCACAAGTCCAGCTAGCCTCTGATGTAGGTCATGTTTCTGCAGCTGCTTGTAACTTCTATTAATAATAACTTGTTTAATTAAGGCTCACGCACAAATAAAACCTGGAGCAGCGCCTGTTGGTGGACTCGTGTTTCTGGGTGGCTGCTTGTTACTCTCACTCGAGTATAAACATGTTGCAGTAGCGCTACGCTTACTCGGGTGATTTATCAGCTGTAATGAAACGTCTGAGCGCCGTTTGATTCCTTTGAGGTCGTAGGGATCCACGTTATCGATGGTAGATGATTTCTGAAAATGTTGATCTTTATCCTCCTGGGATGCGTTCATCCTTGTTCTATTAATCCATCCTGTTGACTCTTCTTCTGCTTTAACTTCAGCGACAGCTTCCCCTAGCAACACGAGTCACACACCTAAAATGGCGCTAAGGGGTGTGGCTAACATGCAGCACTTATGTTAACCCAGCATTTATGTTATTTGGGGTGTTATTGATGGGCTATTATGGCCTAACTAATGAGTTATTATATCTATATTATCGTTCTTCTATTTCTAATCACCAGATATTGATAATTACAATAAATGTGTGCAAATTATTAAAATAATTCATTTTGCATCTTTATATATCTATATGGCGCGTCTGACTTCAAAAGAGCACATGTCACCCCTCTGTTCACTGGCAACCGCTAGCTGCACACATCAAATATAATGGCTAGCACTAGCATACAAAGTCCTGGACGGTACGACTCCCATCTACCTGAATCCTCTTGCAAAGGCTTACGTAACGGCCTGGCCGCTCCGGTCGTTGTACGATCGTCGGCTAGCAGCGCCTACACTACACTCAGGCCTCTTTTCATGTGTCGTTCCACTGATGTGGAATGACCTACCAAGCATTACCAGAACAGGCGCGTCCTTGTCCATTTTCAAGAAACTCCTGAAGACTTAGCTCTTCAGAGAGCATCTTCTAAACTAGCACCCTCCCAGCACCACTCTACTGCACGCTCCATGTTCGCTTCCCTCTAGGATTCATTATGCTGCCTCACTGCCACCTCGGATTGACAGATTAATGTTTGTGTTGGCCTGCTGGCTTCATTATCACCTGTAAGTCGCTTTAGACAAAAGCGTGTGCTAAATACATACAAATGACTATTTGGCGCCAACTAATGATGATATGTGGTTAGTGCATGCCCTGTTGCCACAACCGCGAATCTCGTAAGTAAATGATCCGAATTCTGAGCGAGGAGACTTTTTAATACATTTATAATATGATCACATTTTTAATGTGTGTTTCTGCTGAAAATGGTTTGTTTTTTTACTAGAAATCCGATGAAATAATCATGACATAATTAACGTTTTTCACCAGATTTATTTAAACACATTTGAAACCAATGTTTACTGAGTTTTATGTGTTTTCTGCTTCCTTGAACTATTTTGCCAAACCAGAAATGTGACTCAAAATCCAAAAGCGGTTAATTTTTTTCAAATAAACCATCATTTATTTTATTTATCTGCCCGTGAACATGTTAATAGTACAAATTTATGAAAACACTGCCTTGTTTCTCATATGCACCTTCCCACAACAGGGCATGCTAATCTTGGCAGACGTGCTTTTTTCGGCACAACACGTCAAAATGCGCCCCACCAAGAAAATAAAATACATCACCCGCTGCCGATGATTCATGCCTTTAGAGGTCAGCTCAGAAATGTATCAGCAGACTTTTGACAGGAATTAAAAACCTTCTCCATGGTGACAGTGTGGTGTTTACGCTCAGGAAGGAAACCCTGTAAGGTGCTGTTGCACAACCAGGTGCGTGCCAGAGCTACCTGTCTGGGCTGCCCTGACATTTGACAGAAAACCCTGGATTACCTTTGCTTGCAATGTGAAAGGTAGGGATTGTTATCAACATAGAAACTGTATCCAAGGCTTGAGATGCACTCTGTGCAAGCCAAGCCCGTGCACACGGACACTCCCAGGAACACAGGCTTGTGTCTGCGAGGGTGCGTGACATCAGATACGTGAACACCTTCCTGTGCGTCTCTAGTGAATTCCTAACATTCTTTCAGCTCCGCCAAGTATCACAATGAGGTCTCCGGGAACATGCTGTTCTTTTTTTTGTTTCTGCTGTGGTCAGAATAACACCCTACATGGGAAATACTGGAATTTCCACCTTCTCTTGTCTGCACATGCTCTGTTTTAACCACAGCGTTGCTATGGACACCACAGTGCTCACGCTAGTATAAAATGCTGTGCGCTGCCTTGTGTCCGTCTGTTTGCTGGCACAGCACACGTCTCCTGAGTCAGTGAAGTCCTTCAGGGTGCATCACACTGTTGGTGTGATCAGCTGATGGGAGTTCAAAACAGGGTCAGGGCCATCTTGGTTTCCCCAAGGTGGCCAAGAAAGCTAATTATGAAAAAATCTTTTGTGTTTAAATGAGACTAAACTTGGCAGGAAAATGTGTTTGTTAACATGGTTGCTGATGGACTAGACTAGACTAGTTTTCACGTGTATTGCTGTGTAAAAATGGTAAATGGTGTTTAATTGTATAGCGCCTTCTTTCTACAACCCCCCAAGGCGCTTCACAACACAATCAGTCATTCATCCATTCATACCTTGGTGGGGGTGAGCTACTAGCTATAGGTGCCCTGGAGGCGAGGCCTGCCGAACACTGGCAGCACCATTCCCTCCGACCACCAATGGCAGGCAAGGCGGGTTAACCTGCAACCTTCTGACTACTGGACAACCCACCCTACCTCCTGCGCTACTGCTGCCCAGCCTCTACACACACAGAGGGATGCGACACAAGCAGCAGCAAGAGAAACAAGCCATCCCATGTTACACACCAGGAAATGTTAATTTTAGAAAAGGAGAAGACTGAAATGCCAAATTACAAAAAGAAGGACTAACGAGGCAGAAGGAGGTGTTGCTAATGAAAAAACAAAATGTGCGGAATGACAGCTCCACCTTTTCAGTCGATTCACTCGGTACAACACAAACAGGAAGTTGGCTCTGATTCAAACAAAACTCTAGAAAATTGGAGAGAACATGGCGCTCTACACACCAGGAGGAGTCCTACTTATCCTGGGAAAATATTCTTGTGCTTTATGAAAATAAGCTTCGACAAGCTAGAACTGCTTATTTTTCATCGCTAATTGAGGAGAATAAGAATAATCTTAAATTTCTTCTCAGTACAGTTGACATGTCAGTGGACATGCCATTCAAACCCCCCATTAAACAGGTCTGTTGGATTTCAGCTGTTAACTTTATTTTCTCTCTTAAGTGTTTTTCTCCCCAGAAGAAGCTACAACGATGTTCTGCTGAGCTGTGGTGGCCTCATGGAGGGGGCCATCGTCTAGCACACTGCTGCTAACCACTTAAACATTCTCCCTCTCCTGATAATAACACTTTACTCTCTTTGACATTGAATGTGCTACTACTAGTTTACTCGGTTTATTATAGATCTACTTGGATAAATACAATAAAGTTTATCTCTCACCAAATAGAATATTTACTAACAAATCACAATGTAACCATAGAAACACTACTTGGTATATATGTTGTGTGTGTGTGTGTGTGTGTGTGTGTGTACTCTGTCTTCTCCATCTCGTGGATGGCTGCTTATACTGAGTCAGGATTCTCTGGAGGTTTCTTCCTGTTAAAAGGGAGTTTTTCTCTCCACTGTCGCTGCATGCTTACTTAGTATGAGGATTGCTGTAAAGACTCTGACACTAGTCATGACTCGATGCAACCTGCTGGGTTCCTTATATAGGAAACTTTTTACTGATTGGCTTAATGAACAGGGGTCTCATTTATCAAACATTGCGTAGAATCCTTACTAAAAACCGTACTTAAGCTCAGCAAAAAAATGTACTTACGCCAAGTAAGTTTGTGATCTATCAAACATGGAGTACGCACAGCTGCACTGCTTCATAAATCAGAAACTATCTAGAAAGGTTCTCAGCTGCTTTTTAGTCACATCCCGCCCTCACCACGCCCACTTACTGCCATAAATGGTCGATGCAAAGCGCCTTGTGGACCTCATGCATATACATAAGTCGGCTGTTGCAGCGCTCTGCCATGATAGATTAGGTTAATAAATAAGATGGATTACAGTAATAAATAAGATGATTACAGTAATAAATAAAATGGATTACAGTAATAAATAAGATAGATGAATAATGGATTTATCTTGTGAAGGAGAATTTTAACATTCATAAAACCAGATAAACAATGTATAGAAGAAGGTAGCGGCAGCAGTGGAACAACAGTTTCAAATTATTTTATTTACATAAAAACAATTAACAGTCTGAAAAATGTACAAGTCTAGGTTTTCTTTGCAACAGTTACAGATGAAAGTTGATCCCACGTTGTCTCAGTTTGTCACAGCGGAGATTCGAGCATCCGTAAGCTGCACGAAAGTCAGCCATGTTGACCCCCGAGCTTCACAATGAATAAAATTGTATTTCTGCAAACATAAATCCAGAAATGTCCTGTTTTAGTTTACCTCAGTATAAGTTTTGTGTAAGTCGTTATTGGTTTTGTGTGGTCTCAACCTGAATAACATGCAGGTAGCCCAGGCGGGACACATGGTTCAAAATTAAGTCACTTTCAAAGGCAAAAGTGTTAATTACAACATGTGCAAGTATGTTGGCTCAAGCCCATGTGTTATAAGGGTTGTAACAAGGCAACCCGCTTGTAAATCCGTTAATATTTCATCGAGTTAAGGTGTTTTTGTTTAAGCTGATCACTCACCTTTCAGCTGCTACCATTGAGAGAGGAGGGGTCTGTTGTCTGAGGTAAGATGGCCGCCGTTTAGCTACGTCCTCGACTCCCGCTTTCGTCATCTAGTGTTTATATACACATATCTATGTCAGAAACCACATTTCCCAATAATGTTGTCCTCTTTCAGAAAGTGGTGCGTCATGCCTTCTTCTGATTTGTCAAGCCCAGTAAGCCGGTTCGTGATTGGTTGATAATAGTCAAGTTCGTGTTACCAGCTGGTACGCTAACCGGTTAGCTACTGGAGCTACATTTGCCTCTTTCTGGAAGGGTTAAACGTGAAAAACGGGCGTGCCACGCTGTTAATCCCGGCTCTTCGGGTAGCCGCGATGCCGGTGCACTCACGGGAGAAGAAAGACAGCAACCACGAAGAAATGGAGGTGGATTTTCCTGAGCAAGACGGCAGCAGCACAGATGAAGAGGACACTGTTAGCTCGTCGGTGTCTGAAGATGGAGACAGCTCGGGTAGGGACCTTCAAACACCAACACACACTCAAGTTAATGAGACACACTTGCATTTTAGATAAGCTGTGACTTAATATGTAGTTTGTAATCAAACCCGGATGTGAATGGCGTCACTGTAAGTGATGTGTTGATGTGAACAGAGATGGATGATGAGGACTGCGAGAGGAGGAGGATGGAGTGTCTGGATGAGATGACCACTCTGGAGAAGCAGTTCACCGACCTGAAGGAGCAGTAAGTCCAACACCTGCTGATGACCCTGGAACCCAAGTTACCCAAGTAATGTTAGCATGATATTCACAGATTAGAGTTTTCTGCCCTCCTGATCCGAATGTTGATTCGAAACATAACACACCTCGTTAGCATCAAGGTACTCAACAGGCTACACTCTGTCCTCTGCTTGTGTTGAAATATGTGAACATCCTCCCTACGTTGAGACGAAAGATGTTTAAACCCAAACAATAAAGGTTCGATTCAATTCAAGTTTATTTATAAAGCGCCAAATCACGACCAGAGTCGTCACTCAGTAAACATCCCAGTACCGGTCAGGGGCCTCATTCATCAGGCTAGCTTACGCACAAAACGGGGTCGGAAAACTGCGTAAGCAACTTTCCACGCAAACTTTGGGATTCATGAAAGAAAACAGCAGAAAAATGTGCGCAACTATAAGTTGACGAAGGACCTGGCTTACACACATGTTGGACATGGAGAGCACCTGCAGTGCTGCTGCTGAGAAGATACAATTATGAAATCCTGCAGCATTATCACTTGTACCGCTTCGATTTCACACAGAACAAGACCCCCCACACGCACACACACACACTCAAACGCGTACACACACACACACACACAGCCTGAAGCGCAGATTACAGAATGCAGAATATCAGCAGGGGGACAGATTGAGACAGAACATCATGCGTCTGTGACGGTGTGTGTCCTGTCGCTGTGACCCGATTGATCATGCGCCCTGGCTACTTGTACAAGGGAGATCCAAGTTTCTCCTCCCTGTTTTCTACCCCTTGAGGTTGTATAAGGAGCGTCTGAGCCAGGTGGAGGTCAAGCTTCAGGAGGTGATGGCTGGCTGTGCCCAAGAGTACCTGGAACCACAGGCCACCCTGCAAGAGAACATGCAGATCAGAACCAAAGTGGCAGGTAGAGGGCTTGTTTCTCTGTTTTAATAAGAATGATATATTTAGAAGTACTTTAAAATAAAGATATTCTTCATTTTTAAAGGGATCTACAGGGAATTGTGCCTGGAGTCGGTGAAGAACAAATACGAGTGTGAAATCCAAGCGGCCTGCCAACACTGGGAGGTGAGAGGTCTTGATGGGATAAAATGATATAAAGGAAAAGGAACCTTTAGTTTTTGCCCGTCTGGGCAGTCTTCGAAGAATAAACACCACGGTGTTCATGCATTACCTGTTGTGTTCGTGTTGTTTCCTTTCATGTGTCAGAGTGAGAAGCTGCTGCTGCTTGACACAGTTCAGAGTGAGCTGGAGGAGAAGATACGTAGGCTGGAGGAAGACAGGCACAGCATTGACATTACCTCAGGTACTGACCAGATCAGGTCGCCGACAAACTGTCAGAAAATAGTTTCATCGTTCGCTTTAGTCGTCTTGTGTCCAACAGCAACTAAATAGTTAGTGTTATCTTCTCCACGCTGGCCTCAAACCCCTCTGTGTGAGGCTGAGGGCGGACTTATTGCTGCCTGTTGGGTGTAACCTCCTATAAGAATGCTTTTTGTGGAGCAACTAGTATTTTTCTGTAAATCTGACTCAATTAAGTTTACCAAACGACTGCATTACAGTGGCAGGTGCAAATGAAGTTTTTACGTTTCTGTCTTCACGTCACAACGCTCTCGTAAGAGGACCCCTGTTCCTGAAGTAGTTTCTGCAGTCATGCACGTGTGTGTTCTCTTTAAGGGGACTTAACGGAGTTTTGAATGTTTATGCTCGCGATCGCCCCCTCAGGCCAAAAGCGTAACGGCAGCTTCAATAGTAGGCTCGTGCACGAGGCGCGCATGCTGTACGTGCACACTCCTTAACGAAAATAACAGCTGAGACAGTCGTGTGTGTGTGTGTGTGTGTGTGTGTGTGTGTGTGTGTGTGTGTGTGTGTGTGTGTGTGTGTGTGTGTGTGTGTGTGTGTGTGTGTGTGTGTGTGTGTGTGTGTGTGTGTGTGTGTGTGTGTGTGTGTGTGTGTGTGTGTGTGTGTGTGTGTGTGTGTGTGTGGGGCCCAGAGGACAGGAGAACTTGCAGCTAATTAATTAAATAATGTGGTTCTGTAGCTTTCTCTTCAGCACAGCCGACAAAGGTTTATGATGGGTCAGTCCTCCTGCATGCTCAGATCATTCCCTTCCCTTGCTTGAAAAATTGTTCCAAAATGAAAGTTGAACCCACATCTTTTTTATCTGTGAATTCAATGCCGTTCGGCGAGTCTCAAATAAAAATTTGGGCATCTTACTGTAAAAAATATACCATTAATGTAAAAAAGAAACTCTAAATGAACTATGTTCACATCCAGAATCAAACCCAGGTCTTCTGCATGAGAGTCAGACATCTTACTAGGTGAGCTAAAGCGCCAGTGACATCCTCTGTATCTGTAACATTTATATCCTTGATGACAGCTGAAACAACGTCAATCCAAAGAACGGTTCGGAGTGAAAACGGCTATTTTGTTGCTAATTAGCAGGAAATATCTAGAAGAAAGTTCTACAGAAAGTAGCTAAGGGCCCTCAGAAATGTAGCTAGCTTTGTCACTAGGCGTTAGGAACAGCGACAAAGTGGCACTGCCTCTCTCTCTGCTGCTAAAGCTACGGATAGCAAATGCTACGGGCGATGCCTGAGCGTGAACGCGCATGAAGCAGCCTGCTCGACCCGAGCATCTCTCTTTTTCTGTGATTTTACAGAAAAACAGGCAATCACAGTAAAAATGCCAGGGCTCATTCTACAGGACCAGGGCATTGCAGGAGAACGTATGAAGAAGACATTTATTATTTCTATACATGTTTTGGCTGTCACACTTCCATAATGTCCCTTTAATTGACCAATTTTAACAGTGGAAAGCCACTGCAGCAAATACACTCGCCTGTGTGGAGCTAGAACAGGAAGCATCAAAAGTAGTTATTTGAACAAAGGCAGAAGAATTAAATAAACATCCCGGTGTTGCCTCCTCTTTGTGTTTTCCAGAGTTGTGGAATGATGGCTTGCACACCCGTAAGAACAAGAAGAAGGACCCATTCTGTCCTGTCAAGAAGAAGAAGCCAGTCATCGTTTCGGATATCCTTCCACACCAGCTTGTCCTTGATGTGTTGAGAGAGATGTTTCACCGCTTTTGTTTTCTTAACCTGTTTCGTACGCCCTTATATTGTTTACATGCTGCAGGATCTGGATATCCTGGAAGACTGGACTGCAATAAGGAAGGTAATTCCCTGAACGCGGACCCAGACGTCACCTGTGTGAAAAGCTTTGCTGTGACCTTTAACGTCCCGTCTGTCCTGCTCTGCATCTTCACAGGCGATGGCGTCTCTGGGGCCGCACCGGGTGAAGGTGGATGGTGAGAGTTTCTCCTCATCCTCAGTTACAGTCAGTGCCTGGCAGAGAGCAACCATCGACCGCCTCACTTGAAAGCAAAGTCTCGATCCAGTACCCTGTGGTCTCTTTTTTTTCCTCTTCAGTCGCCGCGGTGAAGCCTGACAGGCATCACCACGTGGCTCGCTCCGAAGATGGTCGGCTTTTCTACGATAACCAGTGGTACTGCAGGGGGCAGACCATCTGCATCAACAGGAAGGAAGAGTGTCCAACAAGGTTTGTGAGGGGGAGGACCAGTTAGAGAATGGTTCCAGTGGGAATTACATTTAAAAACAAAAAGTATACCTTGGTCCCAATTTGCAATTTTGTCATTCAGAGGTGGAGTAAAGAGGATTTTTCTTAATATTTAAAGTGATAAAGGATGGATTTAAAGCTGCTTTACCGAATCTACAGTCAGCAGGCTAGCTTTTGTCACCCACACCCCCATCGGCTATAGCTGGGTCTCGCTCGCGTGACGTCTACAGCGCGTGAAACTCAAATGGAGACAGGAAGTGTTTTGCTCCGCAGCAAGACGCTGAGGGTGTTTCTCAATGCCAAGGAACCTCGCCTTGATGTCTTGGTCTCGGTGTCCCGGCTGCCTAGGAGATACGCCAAGGCGTGTTCGGCATCTGTTCTCCATCTGTTAGCCGTTTAGCTAGCTGAGCAAGGATACACGGCAGGTGCCTTGTAGCCTAGCCTTGGTCAAAAATTTCCCAGAATACACCGCAATATTTTTAAAGGACGATGCGCTACGATCTCTCGGCATTTTCAGTTTAAGTGTTGGGAACTTTTGGCAGAAGTACAGCCTTTCTTGTGCTTGCTGTCCCCACACCTGGTTACTTGGCTGGGTGGAGGTTCTGGTTCGGGCTTGCCGTGGTTCCGACTTTAGTCTTGGTTCCTCTTCTCTCAGTTGGTCCAGCTTGACCTTGAAGAAAGTTGAGACGGTGGTCAAGCCGTTTTCCCTCTTCAGCGTCATCACCTTTGACAGCTGCAGGAAGAAGCCATTCCTTCTTCAGGCCATCAGGAAGTTTACTCTCCATTGCCTTTTTCACTCGAGGATTCTTTATAGCAGCAGTCTTGCCAAGTTCACTCGGATCAGTCCGTGCCTTCCGTACGGATTGGATGAGCTCAACGATCTTCCTGGACCCGGAAACCTCCTCAGCAGTTGCAGAGGTTGTAGGGTGAAGATCTCGTAGTCTTCTCACCCACGCTGTCGAGAAGTTGGATCCAGTAGGTTCGCCCTGCGTCTGGAGTGCTTCCCAATCTTTTTTCAGTCGACGAAACTCTCGACGAATGCCAGTAAACTTCGGGAGAGCAGCTGGCTTTAGTTTGACGGCTGGTGGAGTTGAACTGATTGAAGCAGCCCTCAGGTATTTAGAGTTTTGGCGGGGCGGTTTCGAGACCTTTGACACGGCTCTGGAATTGCTGTTGCTCTGCAGGGGGAGCACAGCACTTCCAATGTCTATGCACCGTCTTTGCAGCCTTCAGATTTCTCCAGTTCTCCAACCATGAAGTGATATGCATCTGGGTTCTTACTTGCCTGTGTCCGCTCATATGAGTGCATCATTTTTCAGTTTTGAGGAACCTTACTGTTTTTTTAACCTCTTGTAGTTCACCACTTAACTTTAAAGCTATTCATTGGACTTGAATGACTTAAACTCCAATGGATAACCGGAAAACTTGGGGCGTTGTAAAACTTTCGACCGGTAGTGTAGCTGCTGCTGGTTCAGGAGCACCAGGATGGTGAGGACCTGGAGCAGGTCTAAGAGCTAGTGCTGCCTGCCGGGAGTGGTTTTAATGGATGGTAGAGCTGCTGTTTGGATATTCTCACCCCCAGACGGTGTTTGGGAGCACAGGTGCACGTGCTTCCCCCCCCCCCCAGCTACGTCTGAGACAAACCTTCAGCTCTCGACACGAGCGTTCCAGATTCCCTCTGTGGGTTTGATGCAGCTCAGTAACGCCTGCTCACCTGCTCCGAGGCAAAGCTCCTGTGTGTGTTGTCCCGTCGTGCAAATGTCTGTCCGAGTGGCTCTCGCTGATGTCACTTCCTGTGGAGCTGCTGGATGCTAACACTTGTGCATGTTTGTGTTTACCTCAGTGCCATCATCACCGCCATCAACAACGATGAGGTGTGGTTCAAACGGCTAGATGGGACCAAGTCAAAGCTGTACGTGTCCCAGCTGCAGAAAGGCAAATACGTCATTAAACACGCCTAAAACACACACACACACTGACCGATGTCTGCTGCTCCTCATCTCCGTTTGTGTGTGTGTGTGTGTGCGTGCGTGTGTGTGTGTGTGTGTGATTAACACAACATGGTCACATTTTCTTTGAGATCAAAGCCAAGTGCTTTTACTTGGAAGCAAACAGGAAGTGCGACTAGAGCGGGAGCAAGCCTTGAAGCAGATGTGAGTCCAGTGCCTTCCTGAGACGAAACCAGCCTCTGCTAAGGAGGGGCGGGGCCAGTCGTCTAGCAGAGCCTTACCTGGTACTATGAGGACGGAAGCGGGGCCGTGTGGGAGTGACTGATGCTGATGTAGGTGTGTGTGTGTTTGGGATCAGTCCAACCCCTCCGAACGACCGAATTAGAACATGTCTGAACTTTGAGATGGTCCATGGAGTTTGTTTCAGTTCTTCTCCTGTTGTGTTCAGCGCTACTTTTTCAACTTAAACCAGTAATCTGGCCACCATGAGGTGTGTTTCTGTGTGAAAGTAACGAAGAGCAGATGGTCCTACTCGTTTGTGATTGGTTCAGGGACAGCTTCTATACTGACACTGAACACCAATCCTGAGATATTAGTCTACACAACCATACGTTTCTGTGTAAGCAGCAGCTGAGTGGAGCACATCTGGGGTTCAGGTCCAGCTCAGATGATGTGAAAGGGTTGGCCCATCAACAGCATCCAGCGCCAAACGGCACTTCCTCTTTCTTACAAAGGAAGGCAGCCATCTTGTTTAAAATTGGGTCAGTCTGGAAGATTCTGAAGAGAAAATCTATCTTCTTTAACCGGGGTTATCTTCTAAAAGTAGGCCATTTTAATGATTCTGCTGTAAAACCTGGGAGATCGGCGCCGTTTAAAAGGGCATGAATCCTCCAAATGGACCAGAGCGAACTGGAGTTAGCCGTCTTTCTGCTTCAGGTCGGTGTCGGTCTGGTTCTCCTCAACAACACCCAGATGTCCACCAGGGTTACTTCATACCCTTTACTCACGTGCTTTTTCTTCCTGACACTATGGATGCACAGGAAGTGCTACAATCAGCTGCTTTTAAACGAACAATTGCATGAAATAGTGCAAGCTCACTAGGGTGCGTCTTTGAGGAACGATATGGAGAGCGAAGAGAACATTCCGGGGTTTTCCCACCGTTTGTTTGTTTTAGCATTTCCAGCGCTCTGACTCACCTGTACAGACTAACATTTAGGTGTTTGTGATTGCTGTTGCCAAGCATCTGATGGTACCTGGACTTCTAATGGAAGATGTGGAGATAAAAACACGTTTGCCACTTGTGTCCCATTCTTCTCCTCAGTTATTCTTTCTGCAACATCAACCACGTATGAACAAAATGTGAAGGTCAAAGTAAGGATTTTATCCTGTTCACTCTCTCCAGCCAACCAGTCTGTAGGAGATGTTTGATCTTTGTATTTCTGAAACTTTATACATACTTTATTCATTGTATACATCAAGTATTACCTACCTGCAGATTTAAAGCTCCATGCGGCGTTTGCTGATGAAAACCTTTGACAGAAAGTCTGGTTTTGCTTCCTTTTTTATGCATCACTGTGCCAATGCATGTTTAAAACATTAAAGTTTTGTTTGTACCTTTCTAAGAAGAGCCCAATCTGAGCTCATCAATAAAAACAACTGCCAGACGATGAAATGTGACATTTTATTTGTGCAATGTTGGTTACTTCTTAATATAATAGTGACTTAAATTCAATTCAAGTTTATTTATAAAGAGCCAAGTCACGACCAGAGTCGTCTCAAGGACCTTCACACAGTAAACATTCCAATACAGGTCAGGTCATTAAGCCAATCAGTAAAAAGCTTCCTATGTAAGGAACCCAGCAGGTTGCTTCGAGTCTCAATGCAGAAGAATAACCCTAACCGACCGCCACCAGCACCACCGGAGCCGGGATCAAACCTGCAACCTTCTGATTACTGGGCGACCCGCTCAACCTGTTGTACTGCTGCCCCTTTTAAAGTGACAGTGTGTAGTTGCCCTGGCGATAGGGGAGGTACTTACCTAAATGATATTAAGGCTTACTTTTGTGTTCAATTCAAGTTTATTTATAAAGCGCCAAGTCACGATAAGAGTCGTCTCAAGGCTCTTCATACAGTAAACGTTCCAATGCAGGTCAGCTCATTAAGCCAGTGAGTAACGCGTTTCCTATTTAAGGAACCCAGCAGGTTGCATCGAGTCACTGACTAGTGTCAGTCTTTACAGTAATCCTCATACTAAGCAAGCATGCAGCGACAGTGGAGAGGAAAACTCCCTTTTAACAGGAAGAAACCTCCAGAGGATCCTGGCTCAGTATAAGCAGCCATCCTCCACGACTCACTGGGGATGGAGAAGACAGAGCAGACACACACACACACCATATATGCCAAGTAGTGTTTCTATGGTTACATATTCTATTTAGTGAGAGATAAACTTTATTGTATTTATTCTAGTGAATCTATAATTAAACGGGTAAACTAGTAGTAGCACATTCAACGTCAAAGAGAGTTAAAAGTTATTATCAGGAGAGGGAGAATGTTTAAGTGGTTAGCAGCAGTGTGCTAGACGATGGCCCCCTCCATGAGGCCACCACAGCTCAGCAGAACATCGTTGTAGCTTCTTCTGGGGAGAAAAACACTTAGAGAAAAAATAAAGTTAACAGCTGAAATAGCAGGAAATAATACAGTTAAAGAGCAGATTGTAGAAGAAAGTAGTCGAGTGCGGAAAATGGTCAGTGTGTCCTCCAGCAGTCTAAGCCTATAGCAGCATAACTACAGGATAACTCTGGATAACCTATCCTTTTAGATGGAGGCATGTTGGGGGCAGGACAAGGGAGAGTCTTCTTTACCGACTGTACACTCCATCTCCCTGTAATCCCCCACTTGTCCAGATCTAGGCTAACATCAGATTTTAACCATAGGCCCTATCAAATAAAAATGTTTTAAGCCTATTCTTACACACACACACACACACACACACACACCATATACACCAAGTAGTAGACAAGGTGTCTGCCTGACAGACTAAAGCTGGGAGCTGGTTCCACAAGAGAGGAGCCTGATAGCTACAAGATCTGCCTCCCATCCTATTTTAAGATATTCTGGGAACCACCATTAAAAGAGTTCACTCTTTTTAATTCTCATCAGAACTCTAGCTGCAGCATTTTGGACAAGCTGAAGACTTTTAACTACATTCTGTGGACTTCCTGAGAGTAATGAATTACAGTAATCCAGTCTTGATGTAATAAATGCATGAACTAGTTTTTCAGCATCACTCCAGGAAAGGATGCTTCTAATCTTAGCAATATTCCAAAGGTGGAAGAAGGAAATCCTGCAAACCTGACTAACCTGGGATTTGAATGACATGTCCTGGCCAAAGATAACACCAAGGTTCCTTGCTTTGTTCTCTGAGATTAATGTAATGCCATTCAGGTCAGGTGATTGGCTAAGCAATTTCCTTTTCTGGATTTCTGGTCCAAAGATGAGAACTTCAGTCTTGTCTTGATTTAAAAGCAAAAGGTTTTGAGCCATCCAATTTTTTATGTTTTCAAGACAAGCCTGTAATCTACCTAACCGATTAGGTTCATCAGGGTTAATGGATAAATATAACTGAGTATCGTCAGCATAACAGTGGAAGTTTATCCCATGCTGTCTAATGATTTTACCAATTGGGAGCTTATATATAGTAAAAGGAATTGTTCCAAGCACTGAACCCTGTGGTACTCCGCAAGTAACCCTGGAGTATGAAGAAGATTTGTCATGTACATTTACAAAATGAAATCTGTCAGACAGGTAGGATTTAAACCAGCCTAGCGCTGTTCCTTTGATCCCTACAACATGTTCAAGTCTTTCTAAAAGAACATTGTGATCAACTGTGTCAAAGGCAGCACTGAGATCTAACAAGACTAGAACAGACACAAGATTCTTATCTGAGGCCATGAGAATATCATTTGTAACTCTCACTAATGCAGTTTCAGTTGCTGTGATACTCTCTAAAACCAGACTGAAATTCCTCAAACAGATCATTAGTGTGCTCACATACTTGGATGGCCACTATTTTCTCCAGGACTTTGGATAAAAATGGAAGGTTCGATATTGGTCTATAATTCATTGGGTCATCTGGATCCAGAGAAGGCTTCTTAAGTGAAGGTTTGATTACAGCAACCTTAAAATCCTGTGGTACATACCCATTCACTAAGGATAGATTGATTATATCTAGAATGGGGGCAGTAACCAAAGGAAATGCATCTTTAAATAATTTGGTTGGGATTGGATCCAAAATGCAAGTTGAAGGTTTAGATGAAGCTAATATTTTTGATAACTCTGAAAGCTCAACTGGATCAAAACGGTTCAAGCACAGATGAGGTTCTACAGTCACCTCTGATGCTGCCTCACTTACTGAGGAAGAAGAAATCGCATTAGGGAGGATGCTAAAGATTTTGTTTCTAATAGAATTAATTTTACTTGTGAAAAATCCCATGAAGTCATTGCTGCTGAGGGCAAAGGGAATAGATGGTTCAGAGCTATGTTTCTGTGTAAGTTTAGCAACTGTACTGAAAACAAATTTAGGATTATTCTTATTCTCCTCAATTAATGCTGAGAAATAAGCAGTTCTAGTTTGTCGAAGCTTATTTTTATAAAGCACAAGACTATTTTTCCAGGGTAAGTAGGACTTCTCCCGGTGCGTAGAGCGCCATGTTCTCTCCAATTTTCTAGAGTTTTGTTTTAAAGCTGGTAAATGAGAATTAAACCAGGGAGCCAACTTGCTGTGCTTAATTACCTTCTTTTTTAAAGGGGCAACATCATCTAATGCCACACATAAAGAGGAAGTAACATGATGAACTAAGGCAGTGGTTCCCAACCTTTTTCCCAAAGGACCCCTTTTTTACCAGTAAAATTTTTGACGACCCCCTCCCATTCTCTCTTCCAGTACAAACATTATTAAGAAATGATAAAATTGTTCAAACACATTTTAATATTCTTTGACTCAATAGATAACAGTAATAGTAGGCTCCAGTACAGAACAAAGTCATTAACAAAACCAAAGAGAGCATAATGTGCTTGACAGTTTGTATTACTTTTCTGAACACATTGTTTCTTGTAAACACTGATAAATCAATCATTCCTTTCAATAAACGTTCGACACATAAAAAATACACTGAGCAAAATGTACTTAAATGTGTATATTACTGTTTATACTAGATTATTTACTGTAAAGGCTGTGATTAATCAACCAGTCCTACCTTTAATGAACTTTTGACACTTGAAAATAAAACAGTGAGCTGAGCAAAATGTTCTTAAAAGTGTGTTACTTTTTCTGTACTAATTATTTCCTGTCTTAATATCAGTAAACTTTTCACTCATGAAAAAAAATGTGAGCAAAATGCAGGCTATAAACAAGTAATAAATGAAGTTTTAATCCCTTAAAGTGGAGAGGTCCTGGCGAACCACTGAACTAAGGCATCAATTTGTGAGGGGCTAGAAATAAAAATATTGCCCTCTGCTACGTTTTCCTGACATGCTGAGGACAGTAAAGATGGAACAGCGTTGTCAGATAGAGACAGACTACAGTGAAAATTACTTTCATGTCTCGAGAACTCAGTTATAAAAAACTCAGAGGTTATCAGAAAGTGGTCCGAGAGGACTGGATTATGTGGAAAGATCGTTATTTCCTCACACTATGCCATAAGTCAGCACAAGGTCTAATGTATGATGCAGGAGTGGGTGGAGCTAACTATTCTGGGAAGGAGGGTGCCAAAGTAACAGTTCTCTTCTCCTTGTAGGATGTCCAAAGCAACTGTGAGTGGCTTCATGACTGCACAGTATTCTTTCAGAAACTGAAGCTCTTTCTCACTAAAACATTTTAACTCTAAACGATCAGAGATGGTATTCAAGTCACTTGTGGGCATTTCAACGATCCTCGCCACAGCGTCGTAGAAAGAGTTCCATCTTGTAGAGCATGGCACCAGCAGCTTTTTGCCAACAGTACCTCCCACTATTTCTGAGGCCAAGGTCGATCTGCTAGCTTTACTCCACAGAGCTGAGCACTTGGCTGTCGCACTTCTATTTATATTTTTAGTAGTAGGATTCGAAAGCAGCCACTTGTCCACATCAGAACATGACATCAAGCTAAGAGTGTGAGTGGCACTCCTCAGATGGGGAGGTAAAACAATTCCCCCATCTGCAGCGGTGCTGAGCAACTCTGAAACATCAGTGAAGATGACGTCTTCACCATCTTCTTCATCATCATCATCGCCAGAGAGCGACTCTGGTTGGAACATTTGGAAGGCTTTCACAAAGTTGGAGCCGTTGTCAGTAACTGTAGCTGTAACTTTCGTCGACAATCCAAACAGTGAATGAATAAGGTAAATCTCGGCAGCAATTATATCATACGTGTGCCTACCTTTGATCCTTTTACAGGCCAGGGCAGCTTTCTGGCGTCTAAAGGTAGCGGTGTTACTCCAGTGAGCAGTTATCCCGAGGTAGCTCTTGTTGTGGACAGTCCAAATATCTGCTGTAGTGGAAATGTGATCAATCTCCTCCAGTGCCGTTTTAAGCTCAGCTTCCATTTTTCAATACTCCTTATCCAGGTAGTCGGAAAAAGTCTTCCCATTTGCCGTGTGCCGCTTGGACATGGTATCATACTTATCAGTTGCCGAA